CCCTCCACCCCAAAATTTCAAGCCTCAGTTAAGTAGCTTCTTTGGTCTCCTGAACTTCCCCTATTTTCCCACTAAAAATTGAGTGGATGGAGGATGGATTATAGAAAGATCTTGCAAATGGATTCAACCTACCCAGCCTTTTCAAATTGCCATAGTGACTGACTCTCACTTGACATTACTTGGTATTTTCAAATGAGAGGTTGCCTACATTCTTATCTGTTTATCTTTGTTTCAGTACAGTTTGTATCCCTGTCTTGGGATATATATTGTTGGGTGATGTGTTCATATTTTGTTTCCATGCTATGATTGTTACACTTCAGCTCTCTGGTAGGTTCTAAAATTAATTTAAAATTTATCTGATTTTTTTTATTGTTTTAAGGACAAAACAGCGTTCTTAGAAAATTTACACATCTTGATCAGAACCAGGAATTATTTAAGACTTTAGCTTAATAGTTAGTAATGTTTAATTAGCAAATGTTAACAAATGGTTACAATTCTAAGTTTGAAGTTTTGTGGAACTGTTGAAACTAAACAAAAAAATCCAAGAGAGTTTAGAACCTTCTGATGGCAAAAAGTAGTCACAAACATAAGTTTCCTTGAAGAATTCAAGGTGATTTTGACAGGAAAAATTATATCCCAAACCAGTGAATTAGAAATACTTGCATTTTGTTTCTAATTTAGGCTTATTTTTGAGTGGAAAGCTATCTTCACTGTGCTATCTTCTATTAACATAAACTACATGAAACAGTTGCAAAAATGTGGAAAAATAAGCTGCATGTCTGAATGAAAATTAGCTTTAATTTAAAAAGTATAATAGAAAGATCTTAGCCGGAAGAAATATAATATCAATCAAGTAAAAAATATATTTGAGTCTTAATTCTGTGTAACACTCAAACTTCCAAAATAAGTGACTAGAGAGGGCCTACTGTGTGGTAAATGATTAAAATTATATGAGTGTGTGGGCTGGAGAGAGGTGTCTGTAGTTTTTGTTGCTTTTCTGTAGGACAGGAGGTAGATTACCAGCACTCATTCATTTTGACAGTTCATAGCTGCTTTGCACTCTAGCCCCAGTGTGCTCCATGGTTTCTTCTGATTTCTATAGGTTCCTGCAAACATATGATCATAGTCATGCCCCTCACCACCAAGTGCCTATAAGTAATAAAATTTAAAAATAAACATAGATATGCATATAAACATATATAAATATGTATATATATGAAATATATATAACATCTATCTATCATCTATCATCTATCTATCTATCTATCTATCTATCTATCTATCTATATCTATCTATCTAAATGAAAATATACAGAAAATACAAGGTAGATATTAGGTCAAACACAGAGCTTATGAGTGAATCTAAATGAGCCTTTAGAGCCTTTAGTTATCTAAATGTAGTCTAAGAAAATTTGGCTGCAGATTTGCAACATTCAAACAAACATTAAGTATCTATATCAAACAAAGCATTAAATAGCATACCCTGAGGTACTCCAAAGCTACTCTTGAACAATAGCTGTGAGATTGCTAGTTGGTAACTCCATAATTAGTAGACATTAATGGTTTTCAATTAAATTAGTGGTGTTTTTAAAAAAAAATATGGAAAGACATCAAATCACAAGTAGCTTGATAGTAAAACAACAAAAGTAGATTTTGTGACGTTTTCAAGTATTTTAGTGAATTGTGTGAATATATAAGAAACAACATCTATGTCATGAAAACCCTTGAGATGACTGACATCAGAGGGATTATATCCCATGAATGTCTAGCAACTATTTTGCTAGTAGTTAGCAAATATTTATCTCAACAAGTGAGTACATTGAGGTTTAGTGTGTGCAATAATAAAATTACAATTAAAATAGGTAGTTCTAAAGATTTGGATAAACTTTCAGAAAATAGGAAGTAGTTGTACTCTGGCTTGTAGAAAAATGCTACTTTTCAAATTCATAGTATGATGGCTCATCTTCATTTTCAACTGGATTGAACTTAAAATAACCATAAAAACCCATTTCATGAAGTGTAGTCCTTCCCATTCTGATGGATCAGCAGCTGATGTGGTCCACAAGTACAGTGGGAGCAGAGATGACTAATGGGGGAAGGGGGTTTCAGAAACCATGTATGTATGGTAAATGACCACACTGGCAGGTAGATTAGCTTTATGTCAAGTGATTCAAGGTTTATAAGTTTTGGAGGACTGAGGGTAGGAACATCCAGAATGAGCAAAGGTAATTGAGGACTTAGGATACTGAAAATCCTCATTAGCATGGGGAAGCATTTCAGGAATCTCAGGTGCTGGCTTAACAGTTTATTATCAGGAGAAAGGAAATTGAACTTGCAATCTAACTAAGGCTAAGTGACATTCCTCTGGTAGAGGCACATGTGGGGGTTTAAAAGTCCCCAGATACAGTCAGAGAAGGAGAAGCTCTACTAATGAAGGGGGTCTTCCATATTGCATTGGGCCCAGAGGCTATTTGATCATGGTGAACTTTGACCTTAATTAACAGAGTTTTCCCACAATGAAGGATGTCTAGGAAGGTTTAACTGAAGAGATAAGGTCCCCCTTGAAAGCTACTATAACAGTTCACCATACCTTACCACAACAGACACCATGTTAGACATACCACTTCTGATCATAAAACCTAGCACATAGGTTCAGCACTTGCCAAAATGGGAAGAAAGACTTAATCCATAAGTCCAGGAAAGTCCTTAAATAGGAAGTCCCTAAATGTATTAACCTTGCCTTTTGGTTTCTGAAGTTCTGCTTTTTGTTAAATGAAGAGTGAAAACCAAGATGTGTTTTTTGTGCATAAAGACAGAGTTGTATGATTCTGGGATGTATGATTTGAGCAAGTTACCTATGCAGCCACCAGCTGGAAATAAGGATTTTGTTTTTAAGAATATCTACAAGGTGATCTCTGGTGGGCTTACCTAGCAATACTACATCTCATGTCCTAAGGTCCCAGGTTGAGTAAAAAGGAGAAAGCCATCTGAGCACCAATATTTCACTGTCTTAGCTTGCTCATCATGGATGCAACATGACTAGCTGTCCTTCAGTCCTGATGCTACAACTTCCCCACTGTGGTTACTGTGATTTCTAATTGTGAGGCATAATAGGTCCCCCTTCTTTAAACTGTTCTGTCATAACTAACAATGAGGAAAGCAACTAATACACATGGCTTCTTGGGTTTTGCTATTTCTTCTTGTAGCCAGTATCATACATATTTATGCGTATGGTTGAAAGCTGTAAAAAAATAATACTCAATTATTGCCATGTTCATCACATGAGTTTCAAATATGAACATTTATATCTTAATTTACTGTACATACCAAAATTTGGCATGAATATGAATGTTGGATGGAAGATGATCATTGTTAGTGTTGTGTTTTTCCCACTTTGCTTACTTATTTTATGTGTGATGCAAACTCTAAATTTCTTGTTAAAGATCAATAAAGCTTATCTAAAAAAAGAGTTGAGAGATTAGGAAGAAGAAACATAGAATTTGTATCATTGTCTCTTTGACCACTCACCACCTATAATTTGATTGATGGCCAGAAGTCCTACTGATCAACATATGTTTCATCAGGATCCTAGAGATCTAACTTTATCCCACAAACTTCCTTGGCAGTGTCCCAGAAACTGTTCCTCACAGAATCTTCTGACATAGCTTACCACTGAGGCTTATCTGTGTGCATTTATGTGAATCTCAGGTTTGCAATATTTGTGACACATAAAAGTATATTCTTTCCCTTCAGATCCTAATGTAGTGTGTCTGTTTTCCAGGTCAGTTCATTTCTTCAGAGTGTGAAAAGCTCAAGGAAGCAGCGTGTTGTTAGTTATCCAATATGGATAGAGAACTGATTATTTTGTTGTTGTTGTTGTTCATTATAAACCATCCTTTACTGAGACTAGCATATAACTGAAGTGAGTGACATACTCCAATTAGTACTTCACGTACAACTCCACTTTAAATAGAATTTGCATTCTTGCTCTATTCAAAGGTTAGCATGCCTATCCAGTATAAGAATAGTTCTATTTTGACTGAATCATAAGTATATCACAGTTTTAATAGTTAATTTCTTAATGAGAATTTCATATATGTGATCAGTTTCTCACAAGGATACCAATCATATATATAGTTATCTGATCCTCCGTGGGTATATATTTCTCATCTTACCTAATAGAAAAATTTTTTTTTAATAATTTTTAAAAATTTTTTCTCAAATTGTAATTTATTTACACAGGGGTTATAAACACAGAAAGGTAGGATGTGGGGAAGGTGATGACACTGGAGTGTGGGTGTTCAGGGGGAATACAGATATCTTTCAGAACCAGGTATCAGCTGGGTGAAGGTTCAGGGGACAGGTCACTATGGCTCTGCCTATGACTCACTTGTCCTTATCTAAGTTGGTATTGTCTGCCAAGGCTACCTATTTACAAGGTCTATGGCTACTTGGGCTGGTAAATTTTCACAAAAGCTGCCTGTTTATAATAGCTATAGAACAAAATTTTATTTTTTTGGAATTTCTATGCTTTCCAATCTATCAGAAGTAAATGATCCAATATATATAATATGTATTATATATAATTATATATAATATATCCAATATATATAATCTATCCTGAAAAGTGGAGTAAGCTCCCTTCCTTTATTTCTATTTATTGTGAGTTACTTTGTTTTATATGTATTTTAAATTTGTAACCAAAATTCTCTTTGGTAATAAATGAGTTACTGTGCACATATCATGCAAGCAAGTCTTCCAACTTGATTTAAAATTATTAAGTATAAATCACTCATATTTCTGAAGTAAGGCTTTGTCATTTCATAACTCAGTGATGTAAAGTAAGACACCCATGCATGAAATGCTGGTCTCTCAGTGAGAACCTTATGTGCTAGTCAGTTATCATTGGCTTACTCAAGGTTTGAACTCAACACTAAGTACTTTTCTCAGGAAGCAAACAACAGTGGTTTTTGAAAGTCGGTGGTATTGGTGTTTTTCAGAAAGGCCAAAGAAGATCTGCTGAGAACTCAGAAAGAACGAGACTTCCACCGCATGCATCATAAGCGCGTAGTGCAAGAAAAGAACAAGCTCATTGCTGACCTCAAAGGGTGAGATGCTCATGTGTGTTGACTAGAGCAGGGCTGTTCAAATGAACTTGTTTCTGTAAGTTTATTGGGTCGGAAGTTTAAGCCCTTGAATTGAAGCCATAGTCACTCTATTGGAGTGTGTGATTGAGAAGTCAAACAAAAATATGAGAAAATGTACTCTATTGTTGCTTTGTCATTCAAGACACAGCCTTGGTAAGTCTGATATGAGCAAAGGACCTCAAGGGTGTATTTACAGTGAGGTGAATTGTGAAGAGTGAATAAGCTTGTGGAGTGATGTCCTCAGGCTGCCATTGTGAGATAGAGCACTATATGCAACAGCACTGATCATGGAAGAACATGGAACACTCACCAGATGAGCCAAGGATGACAAAGAACAGGCAGGGCTTTGCTGGGATACAAGATATATCCTACATTAGCTTGAATTTATGAGAGAAATTATAGAAACTATTTTGGGAGGCATTATTCATACTCAGGATTCCTCCTTCATTAGCTTCCTTCCATTTTTTTTCTGTAAAGCAAGAAATCAGTTTTATAGCCCTTAAATAAAATGATCTTGTGTTTGTTGTATGATAATACCATATAACAAAACATTCTGTGTTGACAGGGATATTAAAAATATATTATCCATTATTATAGTGTTTATCTAATATAAACACTAGATATTTATGTTTAAATATATATCACACCCACTAAATATGCAATTAAAAAGGTCATACTGAACTAGTTGCTTTTATCAATGCTATTATATAATATTGAGCAAGAAGCAGTTTAGGGATTGTAAGACTTGCTCTGGCTTATAGATTGAGCCCGTCATGCCATCATGCCTAGGCAGACATGGCACCAGAGGTAGAATGCTGGCTCATCATATTAATCTGAAGTCAGAGAGTAGAGAGTGAATGAGAAGTGGAACAAGGCTAAAACAACCTCTAGGCTTTACCAGGGACTGATTGCTCCTAGTAAATATCAACCTCCTGAGGATTCCTCTGCCTTCCTTAACAACAGCAGTATCTGGAGACCAAGTATGGGAAATCATGAAACTATGAGTAACGTTTTGCACTTGAACATGATTCTTCCCCTGTGCTTTATGAGCTCCCATCTCATAGTTCAGAATAAAATCTTTTGAACTTGCTATGTTTCCACAGTAATGAATACTTCCAGGACAGTTGAAAAATCTCAACAGATTTGACACTAAAGGCAATCTCTTTACTGTGAATCTTCATAAAATCAAAAGGCAATTTATAATATATAATAATATGACGTAAACAGTCTCATCCCAAAAGGGAGGAATAGTGGTATATAACAAAGCAAACTGAAATCTAGCAGGGCGAACGACAAACCCTGCTTGCACATGTCTGCTATCTGGGGCTTAAGATGGAACTCACTCTACTATGAACATCTTGAGTAGCCCCACCCTTGGGGTTCTGCCACCTGCAGCACATGTAGCTTCTCCCTGGCTCTGGGATTCCTTCTGTACCTATAGCTTTCCTTAGTAGATATCCCATAGTTTTGACATCTCTAGCATCCTAAGGCTTCTATTACAATGTATACCTACCATATTTTAATTCAAAGAATGAATATATATGTCAAAGGATAGTGCTCACAAATGGAATGAAATAAAGCTACCAATGTATGATACAGAGTAACTTGAAAAACTGTGATGAGTGAAAGAAAAAAGCTTCCAGTGAGAACATATTCTGTGACACCAAATACACAATCCCATAGTTTTCTGGGATGTTTGAACTGCTGTTATATTTTGATAAATTATGATCTTAATGGATATACATATTAATCTAAATGGATAACTCTGACACTTGGGATCTACATATTTTACTTCATATAACATATTCTTTTGTAAAAATTAAAGCATAATTTGAAGACATTTTGAATAAAACAAAATTCTGAAGGTATTTCTATCATATCTTAAGTAGTATTACCTTCTGTGAGATGTTAAACTATTTTTAGCATTAGTGAAATGATTCCATACTTAAGAGTGTTTTAAAAGGACCTGAGTGCCATTTGTAGTACCCTTATGAGGCAGCAAATAAGTACATGTAGCTCCTATTACAGGGCATCTAATACCTTCTTCTGATTGCTTTGGACCCCTGTACACATGCAGTGTACAGTCACACAGACATATAGGTTCAAAGTAAATATAGATTTTATACTTCATTTTCTTAATATGAAGTCAAAGAAACACATTTCCAAGAACATCTTTTATTTTGGTATAAACAAACAACTCCTGGTTTCTAGTTTAATTGCCTATTGTTTTTGACTCTGTTTTTTGGGAATTGTGAATTTATATTAGGTTTTTTGAAACAAGGTCTCATGTATCCTAGGAAGGTCCTGAACTCACTATGTGGCTGCAACTGGCTTTGAACTTCTGATCTTCCTATCCCTACCTCCTGAATGTTGGGATTACAGGCACATAGCACTATTCTACCTGGAAATATATACTCTCTAAATTTGAAAGAACTGCAACAGTCCTCTGTGCACAGACTTGGGTACAGAAAACTGTGCTGCTAGGAAATTGGAAAATATGGAATAAAAATATAGTGTGTGTATTTATCCCTAACCTGCGGTAGACTGAAATTACACAGGAAATAACACTGTTCTTCTTGGCTCTGGTATGTTGAACTTTATATAGCTATTCATTTTTATTCATAAGCACACAAAGATGGGATGAAAGAAGAAAGAAAAGGATTAGATGTTAGATGAAAATCACTGATGTAGCTATTTTACCCTTTCTGATGATGCAATTGTCCTTTTTACTTTTATAGGCTGAAATTGCATTATGCATCTTATGAACCAACTATAAGGGTGTTACATGAGAAGCATCATGCTTTACTGAAGGAGAAAATGCTGACCTCTTTGGAAAGAGATCGAGCTGTTGGGCAGGTAAGGAAAGAGGCAGCCAAAGCTACCTTGAAACAATTTGTAATTATTTTTTGTTTATTGTACGTGTGTGTGTGTGTGTGTGCATGTGTGTGTGTATGTGTGTGTGTGTGTATGTGTGTGTGTGTGTGTGTGTGAATGTGTGTGCTCAAGAGTATGTATGCTTATGGAGGCCAGGTACATGTATATGCATATGCAGGACATCATATGTTATTCTCAGACATGCTGTCTCCTTCTTTTGAGACAGGGTCTCTCACTGGACTGAAGCTCAACAATTACACTAGACTGTTTGATCAATGAGTCCCAGGGATTTTTTTGTCTCTATATCTCATATGTTGGAATCACAAGTATGTGCCACCATGTTGGGGATTTGTATGTGGGGTCAAGGAATTTACCAACTGAGCTGTAGCTTCAACCCCTAGCATTCATTTTTATGAGTAAATCAGTGGTTTTGTTTTCGAGTTGAGTTTAAAACATTGTCAAGCAATTTGTATATGAAATTTATTTGGAAACATGATGGAAAGTATCTAGTCTATTAACAGCCCATAATGATTATTAATGAATTAATTAACATGTATCTGAAACATGAAATAATATATTACTAAAATGCATTTACATCTGATAGAGGGCTAATACCCAATATATACAAAGAACTCAAGAAATTAGACTCCAGACAACCAAATAACCCTATTAAAAAATGGGGTATAGAGCTAAACAAAGAATCTCAACTGAGGAAACTCGAATGGCTGAGAAGCACCTAAAGAAATATTAAGCATCCTTAGTCATCAGGGAAATGCAAATCAAAACAACCCTGAGATTCCACCTCACACCAGTCAGAACGGCTAAGATCAAAAACTCAGGTGATAGTGGATGCTGGTGAGGATTTGGAGAAAGAGGAACACTCCTCCATTGTTGGTGGGATTGCAAGCTGGTTCAACCACTCTGTAATCAATCTGGCCGTTCCTCAGAAAATTGGACATAGCATTACCCGAGGACCCAGCTATACCAGTCCTGGGCATATACCCAGAAGATGCTCCAACATATATAACAAGGACATATGCTTCACTATGTTCATAGCAGCCTTATTTATAATAGCCAGAAGCTGGAAAGAACCCAGATGTCCTTCAACAGAAGAATAGATACAAAAAATGTGGTACATTTACATAGTGGATTATTACTCAGCTATTAAAAACAATGAATTGGAGAAATTCTTTGGTAAATGGATGAACTAGAAAATATCATCCTGAGTGAGGTAATCCAATCACAAAAGAACACACATGGTATTCACTCACTGATAATTGGATATTAGCCCAGAAACTTGAACTACCCAAGATTCAACTCATAGACCACATGAAGCTCATGAAGAAGGAAGACCAAGTGTGGGTGCTTTGGTCCTTCTTAGAAGGAGTAACAAAATACTCAAGGGAGCAAATATGGAGACAAAATGTGGGACAGAAGCTGAAAGAGGGGCCGTCTGGAGACCATTCCACCTGGGTATCCATCCTATGTGCAGTCACCAAAGGTAGATGCTGATGTGGATGTCAGGAAGAGCATGCTGATAGGAACCTGATATAGACGTCTCCCTAGAGGTCTGCCAGAGTCTGACATATTCAGAGGTGGATGCTCACAGCTAACCATTGAACTGATCAAGGGGTTCCCAATGGAGGAGTTAGAGAGAAGACTGAAGGAGCTGAAAGGGTTTGTGGCCCCATGAGGAGAGCAACAATACCAACCAACCAGAGCTCCCAAGGTCTAAACCACAAGCCTGGGAGCACATAGGGAGTGACCCATGGCTCCAGCTGTATATGTAGGGGAGGATGGCCTTGTTGGGCATAGGTGGGAGAGGAGATTCTTGGTCCCATGAAGCCTGGATGCCGAATGTGGAGGAATTTGAGGGTGGGGAGTTGGGAGTGGGGAGGTAGGTGGAAGCACATCCTTATAGAAGCAGGAGGAGGGATGATGAGATAGGGGATTCCTGGGGTGGGGAGGAATGAGGTAAGGGGTAACATCTGAAATGTAAATAAAATATCCAATAAAAATTTAAAAAAGAAAATACTGAGCTGTTGTAGTAAAAACAATAAACAAAATGGTTAAAATGTGAGCTTTCAAAACTATCCACATCAGCATTAAGCAACAAACTTAGGTGAAACATAGATTTTGAGAATCACAACTGGTCTAATTATATACATTCTAAGGACCTAAAATGTCGCACACCCATAGTTTATTAAAGATTGACGTGAGACAGTGGCCCTAAGTTTTTTCTATCCCATCAATTGGTCTTAATGATGCAGCCTCTCTTAGGAATATGCAAAGTGGAAGCTAGTCGTATCAAAAGCTATTACAAAATAATGAAACACAGAGAAAGATTAATAGAAACTCTCAAAGAATGTGGGGTTTCCAAAGGTGGAAAAAATCTTTTGAACTGTCTTTGTTCATCTCTTTTTATAGGGTATTATTAGAAACTTGACAAAACCTGAGCTACTCTACTGAGTTTGGTTAATTCTCTGGATAATCATAGGCCAAAGAATGAACAGTCCACAAGCTCTATGCAGCTTGAGCTAACCAGGGGATGGTTATGTACTGTTTGAGTGCTGCTTATCTAGTCGAGGTGATTGAAAAGTACCTCTATTCATTTTTGAGTTTATATATGTAAGTAATTGACCTTGACTCTCTGCTAGCTATTGGCTACTTAGCGAGATTCTCTACCTCAGACCTTGCTATTAATTATTCTGATTTCTCTGACTGTCACTTCCTGACATAGAGTGCTAATCATCCTTTGTTGGTTGCTTTGGCTGTCTCTGACATTGAAGGTGTCCTCAGAGTTAATTATACTGAGATCTTTTTGTCCTCATAGGTATCATGAAGTAGCTGCAGACTTCTTATTTACCTCTGTGTAGGGGATGGTCTAGGTCTCACTCTTGAAATGTCTGTTAGAGTAGTCATGTAAAAAGCAAGAATTCTGTAATAAACAATAGTGCCTTGCACAAGTTTCACAAATTGAAAAGTTATCTTGGAGTAAGGCAGCTGGCCTATTGTCACTGACATTGCTTTCTAGACAGAGTTTATCAACATCAGGTCCATGTTGTTTTTAACAACAGACATTAAATCTTTTAATTGCATTGTGGATGAGTTTCTACAATGCTGATAGAAAATGATCCAATCAATTTGATCTCGTAGTCTGTAGTTGTGCTCTCCGGCAAAGGCTTACCCTGCCAGCCCCTTGCTGATCTGCATTCATCAGTCCACTGTCAGCCTTGGCCACACCTTCTGCATATTGCAGAAGGCTGAGGCCATGGTGAGGCCACTTCAGACACACATACACTCTTTGATTTTCACATCTAACTACTGATTTACTAGAAAAATAGAGGAATTGGGAGTAATGGTGTAAATCTAAGAGTCTGTAAGTCAGTTCTGCAAACATTTAGGTCTTTTATATTTTCTTCTGCTTTCTCACATAGTAAATGGAAACGAACCACTTGCCTTTAAGACCAACATTCTGTCAAGTGAAAGCATGGCTAAGAGTTAAAATAATATTAGGAATCAGGTCTTAATTTTTTGTATCACAACACAGATGCACAGCAAACTGTTGTTTCTATGGAAAAGTGGTTTTATTTGTCTTTCAACCCATATTCCTGCTGAAGACAATAGATAACCTATCTTCTAGAGATCATGTGGATTCTTGATTAAAACAGCCTCTTTAAGTTTAGCACAGGATGTGTAAAATGTTATTAAGTGCTTAGCAGAAATTGATTCTCTGTTAAATTTCTTAATTTTTATCAGTCAAAAGGCCACTTAAATATGTATATGGTGTGAAGTCTACTTGTCATTGTCTGCCCATACTTTCTGGTATTATATGTCAGACTTGATCAGTTTTTGATGTTGATGTATTCATATGGTTGCTTTGAAGGAACCATGGAACCTTTCTAACTTTATAGTCTCTGTTATAGAGTCTGTGAACATTTTAGCATGGTCTCTCTCTCTCTCTCTCTCTCTCTCTCTCTCTCTCTCTCTCTCTTTCTCTCTCCCTCTCTCTCTCTCGGGGGGGGGAGGTCAGGCCTATGTTTTGGGTCTAGTATTTTAAATGTTACCATTCCTTGAGAGATAGCTCAGTAGTCAAGATCACTTTTTATTCTTATAGTTGTGAACCACATGGTAGTTTAACAACCATCCATTAATCTAGTTTCATGGGGTGTGAGGCCGTCTTCTGATGGAGATGGGCAGCAGGCACACAGGGATGCACATATATACATTAAGGCAAAACATCCAGACACATTCAATAAACTTGAATAAAATTATTTACAAATTAACAGTTCTATGTACCTCTACTGAAATATGATGTGGATTGGCTGTAGAGATTTTAAGCATGTTCTGAAAGGCCCTAAAGTTTAACAGCATAACACAAACTGTGAAGCGTCTGTACAGCATGTCAGTATTCAAGGCTGTTCCCTGAGGAAGTGGAGGGGGCTATGTTTCTGTACTATTATTCACTGGAAACCACTCCATGCCCCCATTTGTCTCAATAATGACCACACCTGTTCTTATAGACTAATTTCTAATGTTTTCTCTTAATTTTAAAAAAGAAAACAAATTTGGAAAATATTTTCTGATGGAAATACTAGAGCTTATTTCTTGATATTGAAAATGGAACAGTTAGGATTTAGAATCAGTTTTCTTCTCTTAGCTATATCTGCTGTTCAAAGCTGAAGACAAATTAAAGTTTTAGAAAGTCATATTGAAATAGATTCACTAAGAACAAAGTTGATACAAGGCGTCTGATTTTTTTTTCAGGATTGTTTTTTAGATTCAAAATCCAATATCCTTGGAATGTATTCTGTATGATATATGATTACTCACACCAACACATATTATTCAAACTCCATATGGGTCAAATGATTGAATAAGCTTATATCTTAATGTCCTTAACATAGGTTCAAGAACGGTTCCAAGAGTATCTAATGTTTATACTAAGTAGTAGAAAATTTATAATTTGTTGAACCCAATTTACTAAGTGGTAAAAGACTGCCAAAAATTATTCTGTTATAGTCTTGGAACTAATTACCTTAGTCCCCAAATTAGAGAAGAATTTAGGGTTTTAATCATAAGCATTTTCTTGGAAAGTAAGCCATGCCTTCAGGGACTGAAACTTTCTTAGCCAAAATTTCCAAGGAATTTTAATTTGAAAGACAGAAACCAATCTGTTGCCAATAAACCTTTTCTTACTAGAGCTGATTCATAAGTATATCCTGACTGTGTGGTCACTGGTTAATCTTCTAACCAAAACCTATTAGTGTGTCATGAAGCCACAAAATTCATTCAAAATATATGTACAAGAAGAATATATTTAAGTAGGAAAATTTACCAATGATTTATCATAGACGATTTATATTTATCTTGAAATTTAAGGTTTATTCCATATACCCTGAGATCTTACTTTCAACTCATACCTTAAGGATGTGTGTTAAAAGCAGAGAATAGAATCTTCTGCTTGCTATGGGAACCAACCCTGATCATCATATCCTCAGATTCTTATCTTAATGAGCATTTAACTTACTATGTTTTTCTTCAAAGCTATATAATAACTGCATTGTAAATGGGTAGAATTTATAATACTTCAAATGAAAAGTCCTTGAGAATTTCACATGAGTACTGTATTAGAATCATTTCCGTCTGTTCTCCCTGCTACAGACTATCCCATGTACCCCAGTTCTTTCTCGTGGTCAAACTTTTGCTTTGATTGTGATTTTTGCATGCACACATGAAATAATTGCACATATAAGTGCAACCTATCAAGTTCACTTAGTGTGGTTCATATATATACGCATTTAGAGCTGACCACTTGGGAATGGGAAACCTATTAAGGGGCTCTTCTCTGGAAACAAGTTATTCTCCCACTCTCAGGAGTTTTTAATTGACTGTCTAGCTTTATACCTCAGGGTGGGGGATTTGATATTTGACCCATCCTTGTGGATAGGTGTGACTCTCAGGATTTAGAGAATTTACGCTATTCAATTTATAATCTTAAAGGGTGAAAGTACACATTTACTAGATAAAAATCCAGTAAGCATTTAAATGCCTTTGGTACATAATAAACATTAAAATGACTCTTTTAAATTTGCATAAAACTTAAAACTTTACAATTCTAGTTGTTCGTTTTGAAAGTATATGGAAAATGTTTTCATAATTCTGAAAAAAATCGATAATTCATAAAAATCCAAAATGCATTTGGTTTGTAAGTGCATAAGTATGATAACTTAACAGTCATTTTGTACTTAATGGTATTTAGGATTGCCATGGAAACACTCCTCTGGGTAGGTCTGTGAAGAGATTTCCAGGAAAGTTCAACTGAAAATAGGATAATAATGCCATGGCTTGGTGTCCAGGCCTGGATGAAAAGGAGATAGCAAGCTGAGCACCAGGATTTGTTTCTGCATCCTGATTGTACATACAATGTTGTTAGCCCTCTCCGGGCACCTACCATCAGGCCTTCCTACCATGAAGGACTAAGCCCTCAAACTGAGAGATGAAGGAAGCCTGCATTCCTCATTCCTTACGTTGCTTTGTTATGTAGTTGTCAAAGCAGCAGAAAAGTAAAAAGTAACAGATAGCTGGTACTGAAGAGTGAGGGGCACTGCTGTGATAAACCTGATGATGTGGTTCCTAGCAGGCAGTGGGACTAGTTTCTGGGAATGATGGTGGAAATGTTTGGAACTTTGGGCCAGAATATTCTAAGAATTCCCAAAGTAGAGCTTAATACATCTTTTCAGTAGCTGGTAAAGAAGATAAGCATACTGACAAAAACAAATAATGGAGGTCTGGCTCAGGATACTTAAGAGAACAAGGGGCTGTCTGGAACTGAGCTAGAACTAAGTAATGTTATATTCTGGGAAAGAATCTGCCTGAGTTCTTGTTCCTGGGTGCGGAAGAGAGGTTGAATTAAAAGGTAGTGGACTAAGGTGTTTGGCAAAGAAAATTTCTCCTTAATAATTATAGATGCAGTCTCTGCCTCTGCTCTCACCTTGTCTGTAGCTTTAAATTCACCCTCCCCCCACCCCACTCCTTTCCTTAATAGTTTTCAGTTGAGATTGTTGCAATGTTAGAGACAACAGGACTGTACTGAGGAGAAGCTGTCAGCACAGTATAGAGCCCAGCTAAGAGAAGCTGTGTGTTCTGTAGGCAGCCAGACTTGAGTGTGGAGCTGCCCAGTTCCTCTGGAGTCCACGTGTTTCCACCAATAGCCCTAAAGCTAAAAGCTCTTAGTAGCCAAGTATCTAGAAACTGAGTCACATTTCTTGTTCTAAGACTCTGTTAACAGAGAGGAGATCACAACTGAGAATGTCTCCACAAAACTGACTTTCAGTCAAGTCTGTGGGATGTTTTCTTGAGTCAGGATTGATGTGGGAGGGTCCAGTTCCTCCTTGTATGTTGTTACCACCTCTGAACAGGTGGTCCTGGCAAGAAAGGAAACTTAGCAAGACATGAGGAACAAGCCAATAAGCACTGTTCCTCTTCTTCAGTTCCTGGATTCAGGTTACTGCTTTTGAGTTCCTGATCCAAGTTCCCTCCAGGGTGGACAATAAGCTGCAAGCTGAGATAAATCTTTTACTCTGTAGTTTATTTTTAATCATAGTGCTTATCACATCAACAGAAACCTAACTTAGATTCTATCGAGAAAGAATTCCCAGTGTTCTGGCTTGTAACAGTTTGATCAAAAGATTAAATAATGTGGATTTGGAATAATTCAAAGAAAAAAATTTCTCTGGTCTTAAATTACAAAGATGATCCAGTGAGTAATGGGTGTGAGTGTGTAATAGGCTAATTTCACATAGAAGAATACCAGATAGCTTAAGCTCAGGGAGGGTGAACTCAACAATTCATTAGCTATGTGTTGGGTGTACTTAAAGAATTGTTTTCAAAGCCAGAGTAGATCCAGGGGAAAAGAACATCACATATCACTGCAGTGATGAAATCTAGCAAACTACCTCTTCCATGTACCAAGGTTAACTCATCATCTTAACCTGTGTTGAGGACAAGTACCTGTGAGGAATGCCTATTTCTAGTTAGCTATGGGGGAAGGAAGTCATTCTGCATTCATGTCCATTCTGTGGGGTATTTTATGTAGAGCGCTTCACAACCACCCTGTAGGGTACTTTGTAACCAGTGCTTCTCAAGCACTCAGGGCCATTAACAAAAGGGAGCATTTCAGAAATGCATTATTCTAGCCGAGTGACTCAATGTAAGGTAGTATTCTGACTGAACTCCAGGGGCACAAATGCAAAGCAAACCAATGGAGGTTACTACACGGTGATATATTAACACTGGGTTATCACGTGTAAAAGTGTGAGCCTGTGTGTGTGGCACACTGTAATTCCTAGTACTGTATCAGCCACCAATGTATGTTGCTTACGATGTTCTGATAAGTTTATAATCCATTTGCCTCCTGAGAAAACTTACCTGTCATTTATTTTACCTTAGCATTCCATTGGTACCAGTCTACTGGCTACAGTTCCTCTGCTATTTTTTTTGATTTAAATGTACTAGTATCTAGTTATAGTCAAGAAATCTGTACATTTGTATGTAATTAAGTGGAAGGTATGTTATGTTTGGGTAATTATGTACAGTAAAGAATGAGACAAATTTAGAGTTTGAATTTTAAATTTGATTCTGTGATTCAGGGAATGTAGGACTAGGCATGCTACAGAGCCAATTAATGTTCTTAATTATAAGAAATGGTTAATAAAACAGGTTATCTATGTAATATATTGTTAATCATACTTTTGTTCCTGGTTACTCCATAGTTATAAGAATAAATTGCCATAGTTAATAGGTACAAAGATAAACTGTGAGGAAATTTAAGCAAAAGAAAACCCTTTCTCAAGGTAGAGCTGAACAGTTGTAAAGTATTTAAAGCACATTTTTTGTTTAAGAAATTTTGGTGTGAGATACACACTTCAAATACTTTCAATGGTGAATGATTAGTGATTGCACATGGAATTGAATTTTAACCAAAACAATGCTATCTTTCTGCTAAAATTTATGTTCAGTCCTTTATAACTTAAAGGCATTGGTTCTAGAGCAATTAATATTTTTGTATTTTGCAATCAATTTTTAAATGTTGCATTTTGCTTAACATTTTAAAATTAAATTACTATTTATAATGCCACATGTTTACATTATTTGGTTTTAGATTTCTGGGCTTCAAGCAACACTGAAAAATATAGACATAGGACATATTCAGGTCCCTGTAATCAAAGGTAAGAACATAATGTTTATTAATACTGACCTGATAATATTTCAGCCTGACTGGTGATCAGCTTTCTAGATATATTTAAGAGGGAATAAAGGTTGTGGAAACTAGTTCGTAAATAAACAGATTAATATGAAATCTAGATGTGATATAATAGAGATTTATTTTAAACCAATATATGTTTTAGGAGCTCTAGAAAGACTCCTGGACAGAGTGTGATGGATTTCCTGGTAGCAGACAAGCCTTCTTTCCATATATCTAACTAAAGTGAAGATGAAGCAATAGATTTTGAACATTGGCAAACATACAATACAGGTCATAGAAGACAAATGACATACAGAAAAATACAGACCGGGTTCCACAATCAACCATGGGTTCATGTCTAAGAAACCTTATAAACTAAGCCTCATAGAAATGGGTGCCTAAAACATATCAGTCTAGATGAAGTGAAAAGGAAAATTCAGAGTTGCTGAAACAACTGGAATCTTTAGAAAATGTTACAGAGGAGTTGAAATGAAGAGCATCTGCTCCTGCGAGGGAGATAAATATTGGTTCTAAGTTGATGACAGGTCTACTTCTATACAACAGCACTACTTGAGACTTGCAAAGAGGGAAATTTCTGTAGGACTAAGAAGAAACTAGAAATTCTCTGCATCAGTCCTGATAGGAGATACTGCAAGGCTAGCTCTGCCTGCTGGACAGGCCACTTTTGTACATCTTTAACAGCATGATAACATTCAACATCCCATATTTACCCTATAGAATGAAAGACAAAGCTCACAAGTGTTCATAGGAGACTGAGTTTAGAGCAGGATTCTTACCAAGTTAATGGCCCTGAAAAAAGTAGGACTGTACCTAAATTTAACCAAAACACCATAAAATTAATCCTTGAACTACACATTGATCAGCCAAAAATTAAACTGTTTTCTTAATTAGAAAACCATCACCCTTCCGATGAAGACAGTTGAATAGAATATCTACAATGTGTCATTCCTCTGCCCAGTTCATAACTAAGCATTTGATTATGTATAGAAGTATATGACTCAAAGTCAAGACAATAAGTTTTAAATGGAAGCCAACCCTAAATTGCTTCAGGTATTGAATTTAACAGGTAAAAATTGCTGAAGGAGCATTTGTGAGATTATTTTAAAGAACCTAAGACAAAATACATCAGTAAGTGAATAGATAGGGACTGTCATCAGGAAAATATCTGTGTACACAGACACAGACACACACACACACACACACACACACACACACACACACACCCCACTTGTATAGATACAGGAACAAATTGAAATTGTAGAACTGGAAAATGTGCCATTATATAAAACATTCAAATGCAGTATAAGTTAGTTATCTTTTATTACATATTTATTAAATTATAGCAAACAATACATTTTAAATGAAGTATCACTTAACTTAAATTACTTAAAAATGGGAAAGAGGAGGCTCTAAGGTTTAGAAAAATGCTAAAATTAGATTTTTTTCTGATAAATGAAATGCCCTAACATTTTCAGAGGCCTTCTCATTATATTTGATTAATAAAAGATTAAATGCAACATTCTTATATTTAAATTCTTCTTTTTCTTGAGTTTGTAGTTCCTTTCTATATATATTTATATTGTCATGTTTGCATTAGTCATTAAATTTTAATATTCTGGTTTGCTATAAGGCAGTAACTTGAATACAAGATTTATACATTTATTTATTTATTTATTTATTTATTTATTTATTTATTTATTTTGAGGTAGTGCTTCTCTACATATATCTGACTGTTCTGGAATTCACTGCATAGACCAGGCTGGCCTTGACTCTCAAATATCTGCCTGCCTCTCCTTCTGCCTCCAGTGTGCTTGGATTAAAGGCATATACCATCATGCCTAGTCCCCAAAACGCTTATTTCTAAACCATTCAATGAGGGCTTATCCATATATTATAATTTATTATAAGAAAATGAGAAATCTATTAACTGCACATTTGATATGCTTAGTAATATGAAAATTATGGAAAAAAGGACTTTAGAACCCCATAGAGGAAATAAGCATCCTATGTGGTAAGCAAAGTACTGCCAGGTTTAGTACTTGCAGATGAACAGAACACAGTACTGCTTATCGTATTCCTCACTCAACAGCTCAAGGTATGCTTGACATCATACATGTTTATTAATGAGCATCTTCTAAGTTATTTTTGCTGCTGCTCAGAATTGCACCACGAGATGCTCATTTCTTACATTGGTACGTAGACAACGTAATCTGATTTTGAAAGATGTAATATTACATTTCAAATAGTGTTTCTAGAACACTGAGTTTTTTGACTTTCAGTTAAATGTGTGATTGGCCTTCTCAGTTTTGCTTGTGAGTGCCTTCATATCATAAATATTTTTTAATCATCCATCTGGAATAAATTTCCTCAGTAGCACTTTTCCATTAAGTAATTGGTTCTTACATTGGTGTTTGCTCGGTAGCAGAGTTGGAGGTTGGCAATGTTAGGTGTTAGTAGTTTAAGTTAGAGAGAAGAATTTTCAGATTTATCCCAGGACCTGGGCATGTTCAGTTAACTTTGGTTGAATGTGTGTATAAGTAAAGAATGGTTGATGAATTTAGCATGAGAAAGCATGACAAGTCAAACTTCTACAAATGAATATTGCTTGTCCACTTGTTGTTTTAAAAGCCTTATCTTGAAATCATAGATTGCTTAAAATATTTATTATAATCATATAGATTTTGAAACTGTAGGTCACCGGAGAGGACTATAGGGGTTGGCAGTAACAAAAATGAGAAGATAAGCCTCCAATAGTCTCCACAGGGAAGTGGATTTTGATGGATATTGCTGAATGTTAAAGAATATATATGTAGTTATCCATGAACCATGCAAAAACAATAATGTCTGAGCTTCTTATTCACTATACTGATACTTATGTAAGGAAACTGTTTATGTGATGGGGAGTGGCAGTTTGTTTATATGATGGTGTTAGGAAATGAAAACCATTATTTTACTACTAGTTTAATGTATATTCTGCAAGTTTAGTTTTAAAATATTGATTATTCTAAAATGTAGTAGGGTGTATATTTTTGTGATTTAATTTTGCATACTGAATATCAAACATGCAGTAATAAATCAATTCCTTTCATATATTCCTGTTTCATTTGTTCTGGTCCTCCTTTGCTTTCTAGTTTCTTGCTTTCTGGTTTCCTTTAGACAGTGATGCTTCATGTGATCTTAATGTTGTGTGAAATCCGCTCAGATTCTTACGAAAGTCTGTTTGAGAGCTGACTGTGTCCCTTTTCTGCAGTCTCTGTCCATATAAATACCACTGCATAGTCTTTTTCTCATATATAATGCTAGTGACCTTCAGAGCATCATCAGCACAGTTATATGAAATAATGGGTGAAATACTTTTGTGACAGCAGCAGTCATTCGGTAAAAGACAAATCATTATTATCTTAAAATTGTCATCGTCTTGAATGCTGTGATCTTTGAGAAGTAAAGACAGTAAAAGGATGTGGAGTGAAAACCTCTCCATGTTACAAGGGCCTGTAGCTGCTGCTCATCCTTACATGTTCCAGAGACTTGAGCTTCCAGGGTCTTTGGGACCATGATTTGCAACATTGCTGAAGGAGGACAGAGACTCAAGTCTATAGTGCTTGGTAACAAACATTTTCTTCTGTGTTATAATGAAGTCATTTTAAATATTTTATCTCAGTTCTCAGAACTGTACATGTTAGGAAACTTAGGTTAGGAAAGAAATAATATGTCAGTTGCATGCACCTCCTTGCTCCTGGCGTCTCTAGTTTTGGTAACCATAAGGTGAGGCACCCTTTTAATTCTAACATACAGAGGCAGAGGCAGGAGGATTGCATGTTCTATAGTTCTATTGCTGGCATGGACTACACAGCAAAGTAATTAGTAAAACTAACAAACAAAACCAACCAAACAACAAACAACCCTTAATATATATATATATATATATATATATATATATATATATATATATATATATTTGCTGACCATCTGTACTGAGTCTTTTGAGAACTGTTCGTTTCATTCATCCATTTATTTATTGAATTATTATGTACTTTTTAATAAAATTTTAAAACTCTTATTTTTTTCTTTTTTTTATATATAATTTATTTTTTTCAGATTGTAATTTATACTCATTCACATAGGGGTTATAAACACAAAAAGGCAGGACGTGGGGAAGGGGATGACACTGGAGCATGGGTGCTCGGGGGAATACAAATATCTTTCAGAACAAGGTATCAGCTGGGTGAAGGTTCAGGGGACAGGGCGCTATGGCTCTGCCTATGATTCGCTTGTCCTTATCTAAGTTGGCATTATCTGCCCAGGCTACCTCTTTACAAGGTCCATGACTACTCAGGCAGTACATGTCTGGTGTCTCCTTTCTGTGTGTTCGCTGCGGCTTCCAGCCACTCATTGTTGCCATTGCTGTGCATGAACTTCTTAGCTTTATGTAATTCCATTTGCCAATTCTCTGAAAAACAGTTAATTACTCTTCCTTTCTCTGTGTGTGCCTACTTAGAAGACAGAAGTCAACTTTGAAGAGCCAGTTCTTTCCTTCTAAAAATGTAGATTCCAGGGATCAAATTTCGATCACTAGTCTAACATGATCAGTGCCTTAACAAAGGTCACCAGGCTAACCTGACCAATGCGTTGATCCTCTGGGCTATCCTGTTAACTTCCTCTGTCTGTCAGTTCATGTTATAATTCCTTGGCTTTTGGATTCCTTTTAAATAGGTCTTGCATGGGTCGTTAAAGCTTTTACCTCTAGCAATTCAGAGTTTTATATCTTTTAAGGTCTTAGATCCACCCAGCATCGATTTCTCTACAAAGGGAAGAGACATTAGAGAGCAATGAAATCATCCAGATCCTTTTGTCTTTGTCATTTTTCCTTCTATAATAAATCTAGTGCAATAACTCACAGTATTGTCTATTGTGTTAGTGAATTTGCCCTTTTTAAGTTATTTTAAATTAATTAGATATAAATTAATTAGATAAGTCACATGTAACTGTATGTATAAATCAATTAGATATAGAGCACAAGTCATATGTACCTATATATGTGTTTATAATGAGATGTGAATACAAAAATCTTTTCTTCTCATTTCCTCCCTCAGGATCTTATGAGACTGCTTCTATCACAAGAGAGTCAAGAGACAGAGGTACATGTATTGCCATGCGTTCTTACATTCTTTCCTTCCTGTTCTTAACATCAAGAAGCATAGACAATAAAATTATATAACCTTTATAACATTCACCATTTCTTTAAAATATTGTCATTTATTACCATTAGTATTATGACCCTATTTAACTTTGTTTATAAGCACACAGCCTTATAATGCAGCAATTTGAATGTCCTAGGATTGAAGACTGTTTCCACTTGTTATAGCGTGCTCATAATTCCATTTGTTAACCTTCTAAGATAATACCATCTTACCTTTTGAGGAAATGAATTTTGAAATCAAACTTAAAACACTTTAGAGTGTCATAGTATTAGTTTAGCACCTTTAAAATTCATATAGTAATAGGATCTTGGTTAGTATATTTGGTTATAACCATATTTTTTTAAAAAACTAATGGGGCTGGGCATGATGATGCATACCTTTAATCCTAGCACTCGGGAAGCAGAAGGTGGCTTTCTGAGTTCAAGACCATCCTGGTTTACATAAGAGGTTAATAGGTCAGCCAAGGCTACACAGCGAGAGCCTCTAACTCCCTCCCTTTATCCCTTCTTTTTCCTTCCTTCCCTTCCCCCTCTGTCTCTGTCTCTTTCTGTCTTTGCCTCTCTTTCTCTCACACACTTAGACACTGATACAGATATGCACAGACACACAGACACACAGAGGGTGCTGGAAAGATGACTCTGGGTAAGACCACTTGCTGGTCTTGCAGCAGACCTGGGCTTGGTTATAAACATCCCTAATTCTGGTTCCAGGGGATCTGATGCCTTCCTTGTACTCCACGGGACATTGGGCATGTATATAATCCATATACATGCAGGCAAAACACTTATATACATAAAATAAATTTAAGATATTTAGAATACACATTTAGTGTGTGTATGTATGTATGTATGTATGTGCACATGCAATTGTGTGCCACCACAGAAACATGGAGGTCAGAAGACAGCTTGTGTGAGGAGTCAGTTCACTCCTTTCACTATGTGGATCCTGGAGGTCAAACTCAGGTCAACAGACTTGGCAGCAAGTGTGGGTTCACACTGACCTATCTTATGAGCTCCATATAATCATACCTTATCCATATAAATTTCAATACTTTCATCATTCATGCATTAAATGATTCTTGATATAAACATGCTTGCTATAATCATATCTTTTACAGGTAAATATTTTGCTTTTATTTTGCAGCTGGTCGCAGTTTTGAGAAAGAAAATGGTTCAGAAGGCCCTACTCAGAAAAGTCTTCGTGAAGCCAGGGAAGAAAATGGGAATAAAACAAAGATGAAGAATGATAAAAAGGTATGATGTTTACCTATGTTCCGATTAGCTGGCATGCAACATAGAGAAATTTACAGGAGAACAATTCATACAGCGTCAGATTATTTACTAAAAAGGAAGTTTAGAGTTTATTTATTACAAGCTCTTTACAGGGGAAAATAGAGCTTGGGCAAGCAGCACTGGCATCTCCTTAAGTCAGGTCACATACTTACTAGGGGTAAGGGCAGCTCCATGAGTCTCAGTGTACTTACACAGCCCTAGTGGTCAGCATGCCTGCTCTCAATCCTACTTACAGGCAACTCTGTCCTAAAGAAAAGGCCTTCTCTTATCCTGCAGTGTAGCATAACTTCCCTAGTCTTCCTTTTAAAATGCATAGAGTAGAATTGTGGACCATTTAAGAATATATGTCTATATTCAATCCATTTTTTGCAATCAGTATAGTAATTAAAATCTTATATAAATGCATAGTCAAAGGAGTAAAAATGAAAAAGAAAGAATGCAAAACACGTTAAAGGAGTTGTATTAGGTACTTCTTTTGTTGCTGGCATAAAATACCCAAGGAGAGCAATGAAAGAGAGTTTTTGGTCATGGTAGTCCTCATCACAGAGGAGCATTCTGTTCCCCTGGTTACACAGGTGATATGCTGTGCCTAGTGACAACTGCTCTGCTGTATACACATATATTCTTTCAGGTGGTATGCTGTGCTTAGTGACAATTGGGTAAGTCATGTGTTACCCCTTTAAAACCTTATATTTGTAATACAAGGATGACATGTTATTTGACAAAAAAAACCTTTGAAAATACAGAACATACAAATTATATATCAATGTACAGTCTATTTTCTTGGTGATGCAATACCACACTTAAGGAAGTACCAATATGATAAAAAGTTAAGACTTCAAAGAAGCTGAACTATGTAAAGTGTATGTGTCTTTTCTTCCCTCTACGGCCAGTAATTTTTATTAATATTTAAGTTAGCCTGCATTTATTATTATATAACATCAGAATATATTTGGTTTATCCACTTTAAATGGCACATGTGGACTTATGGACTCTGTTATAGAAATAAATACATATTTAGAGCATTTTGCCGAACTACATATTATTAGTATGCATATTCTCATAATTGGCAGTGTTTGTTTTATAGTGCTAATTCTATTTTCTGTAAATTAGTATGTGAATCCAATAAAATACCATTTAAATCTATTATATGTAAATATGATTTCTTACAGAATTAACTATTTTGAATAGAGCCATGAAGTAGTAAATGGGCCTAGAAATATGTCTTTAAATGCAGCCACTCTTTCGTGCCTCATTCGCTCATACTTGGCTGCCCTTCTTCTTCCTTAGTTCCTACACTGTTCTATTCAGGCTGCCTCTTTTGTTTTCCTGAAGTATCTCCTAGAGTAATTTTCAAAAGATTCTACGGAGATAGATCATCTCAATATTTACACATCTGAAATAGTCTCATTTTGTCTTGAATTAATATTCGGTTAATAATAGTTTATCAATTTAAATTAATTCCTCATTTGCATCTTGAGGGAACAGCCTTGCTATCTTAGATGCTGCTGCTGTTTGTTTTCGAGTGATTCTCATTTTGTCTGAAAATAACCAGTGCTGTATGCATTGCAACATACTACTATGCCAATATTTTGAAAAAAATATGACAATAGTGTTTGCTCATAAAATGGCCATATTTATATTTGAGGAACTTTCAGGCTGGTTTGTGAAGTCATTCTTCAATATTCTTAGATAAAAACTTATTCCTTGCTTTTTGAAACTAATTAATCAAGTCTGAGATCTTGGGTACAAAAAGCAGCCTCAGATTAGTGACTTACAATTAGAAAACTGATTGTCCAGTTTTATGTGACACTAAAGCTCTATATTTGATGTAGAGTTAAATCTCCTGTGTTTCTGCCAAGAACTTCTGAGTTCACAGGATACAGAGATAGTGAGGATAGTGGTATGTGCTCTTCATCATTGTTCTGTTTTTACTTGTAATGTTGAAGTTGGAAGAGGAAAAGGATTTAAGAGGAATTAGTGAAGTTATGTTTTCATTCGAACAACTTTGTGATGTCTTAGAGTTCTTTGGACCTGCCCGACACTGAAGTCAGGTTACTTCCATCATGAAACCTTCATACTCATCTACAAACTTCTCTGAGAAACTGTGTCCTGTCGCAGCACTGCCTGGTGGCCTGCCTACCCATGTTCCTCTTAACATGCAGCTCGGGTATTCTTCCTTACCTGCATCATTTTCCATCTCAGGCCACACTCTTCACTGCCTGTTAAAGCAACTCTAGGTCTTACTCCTCCTGGCCTCACAGTCAAGCTTCCATAGGTAAGCGTGATGTTTGATTTCACTCTTCAGTGAGATCTTCATCTTGCTGTTATAGATTGCAAGTTAGGAATCGTTTCACACTGCACATTCCAAATACGGACAAGCATGAGACACCCCGCTTGTTGTCCGTAGTGTGCATAGTAGGTGTGGCATTCACATTCCTAAGTCTTAGAGGAATAGCCCTCACATGGGCTTCATCTAGAAAGGTTCCTGGTACCCTCCATTCCCATGCTCTCCAGTGTCTTCTATCTTAGACACTTATGAAACGTTTAAAAGAATCAACTCCTTTCAGTAAATCCTTTAAATTTTGTAAATAGTCTGATATCTCTTCTGGAAAGCGAAATATAGGGTTCTTTCTAAAAAGTCACATAGAAACATACTAATGTAGCTTGCTTTTTGTGGAAACTTCTAATTTAATGTCTCTAGTTTTTTTCTATTTCTTTAGGTATTTTTCTTTTTTAAAAAGAGTTACATTTCACTTTTATTGTTCATTTGTATTCATTTTTTAAAATCTGGTAAGATGTATAGTTTTAATCTTTTAAATCTGGTAAGATGTACAGTTTACCTTCTCAAAACAGTGTTTCATAAGCCTCATCCCTTTGATTTGCATTTTGATGTATCATTTGAACATTATTTTCTGGTTCTTTATTGGAGGAATGACTTCATCCAATTTATGATCAGCCCCCTGACCCCTGTATTTGTTTTTATTTTGAAAGCTCTGTTATTCATTTCCTAGATTTCATTCTTATTCACCATAGACTGTTTTCTTAGAAGCCTAATAATATGTCATTTGATGCAATGGTTACTTGAATTTCCTTGTATTTTAGTTACTATCACAGTGATGAAACACTAAGAACAAAAGAAAGTTGGAGAGCAAAGTTGGCTTATGCTTCCACATCACTATTCATCATTGAAGGAATTCAGGGAGAGAATTCAAACAGAGAAGGAACCTCAAGGCTAGAGCTGATGCAGAGTCCATGGAGGGGTGCTTCTTATTGGCTTTACCCCTATGGCTTGTTCAGCTGCTATGTTATAGAACCCTAGAAAACCAGCTCAAGGGTGGCCTCATATACTGTGGCTGAGCCTTTCTACATAGATCATTAATTAAGAAAATATACTGCAGGCTTGCATATAGGCCAATACTATAGAGGCCTTCTTTCACTTGAGAGTCCCTTTTCCTAAATAAGTCTAGTTTATGCCAAGTTAATGTAAAACTAGCCAGCATACTCCGTAAAGACTGTGATTTTGCCTTTAAATGTTGATCTTCTGTTTCATTTCCTTCACAATCTTTCTTCATCTTTAGATTTTATTTTATTACTTTTTTCTTCAATTTGTAATCTTTTTTGAAATTGTGTATAAATACTTTAAATTAGGTTATTAAGCTCCCCACTATTGAATACCTATTTCTGCATCATAACCAAAACTATATGAGCATTGTCCAAGTTAATAGATGTGGGCCGTGGCTATGAGCTCTTTGTTAGTAGGTAAGAGAACTCTTCTGTCAAGGACATGAAGTCAGATTCTACAGCAAAGATGAGCAGGGTGCTGCATTATCCTTGGCTATATAAACAGGGCACCCGTGGAAAGCAGAGTTTGAAACATGTCAGTATATTTACTGATACTAGTTTTTCCTCATACTTCTCTGTACATTCTCATATGGTAGGATGCCGTGTCTTGCTAGTGGTTAGAGGAGGACTCCAGTATCGCTTTAGGTTTTCTTTCTAGTTCCAATGCACATATGCACATCACCCCAAAGAGCAGTCTGTTCATTCCATTCATGGGAAGTTTGGGTCTGTATATGGTAACGTACTCTCATGTAACCTCTGAGAGAGAGAGAGAGAGAGAGAGAGAGAGAAAGAGAGAGAGAGAGAGAGAGAGAGAGAGAGAGAGAGAGAGAGAGAGAGAGAGAGAGGAGAGAGAGAGAGAGAATGAATATGTTTTCAGGTAGTTGTTTTGTGAATTTACCTGACAGTTTACATCACTCAGGCTAAGAGAGAAAGGAAACCAGAATTTCATTCAGGAGATAGAATTCGCTTGTGCCTTTTAAACAAAATGCCTTTAAAAGAAAGTCATTACTCTGGTGAGAGAAAAGCTAAGTTGTCAGAGTTGAGAGAGAGAAACAACGAAGAACCAGATGACATAAGATACTGCCACCGTCTTTGTCTTGGAGGTATAGTTAGAGAACAAGTGTTACTAGAATCTGTAAGATGGGGTTGAAGTGTCCCTACCAGACACAGTAAAGCTGCCTAAGTGGACATGTACGCATGGAAGACAAATGTTTAACTGTGAAAGATGTGATTAAATGCTAAAGAATTTCTAATCAATAGTGATAGGGGAGAGGTTTTAATTGATTTTGTTTAGTGTATAATTAAAATCACCATAGCTGCACAGTCCATCTTCAGTGTGGTGAAGTATGATTGGTTTCTATGTCCCTACCCAGTGGGTGCTTGTCTCTGCTGAGTCAGTGCCTTGGCTCATCGGGGTTCTTTATACTGGGTTAGCTTCAACCTGAGTGGTTGTCATTGGTGTTCCTGCTATTTTAAGCTGCTGTAATTTCCCTTTGGCATTCATGTTTTAATATGGGAGTTCTAAGACATGTTTCAGGTTTTCCCTGGGTTTCAGAATTCATCTCTACAATTATGATTTAACAGCAACCCAGTTTATCCTTAGTAACTGAGAGCAA